AGAAGAATGAAATCACACATCATTTGCAGATATAAGACCATGATGCTAAGTGAAATAAGCCAGACTCAGAAATTCAAGCATCACATGTTTTCTTTCATATGAGGAATCTAGAAAAAATAAACTTAAAAACTTTTAAAAGAGAGATGGTATGAAGGGAAACTATTAGGAGGAAGGGGACCAAGGGAGAGGGAAGAAAAGGGGAAGGGGAGTAATGGAAGTGGGAGAAAATGATCAAAATGTCTCATGTGCACGTAGGAACATGTCCAAATAAAAGTTACTATTTTGTGTAACTAATATGCACTAATAAAAAAGATAAAAAAAGTATTTAAGGATAATGGTGAATACTATTTTCAAAAAAGGTAGTGAATGTTACATCTGATCCAACAAAGATGAACATACCTTTAAAATGGAAAAAAATCTAGAAATATATAATAATCCAGAGAAATAATATATTGTACCTACTGTTTTAGTGGCTTTTTTCATTGATGGGACAAAATATCCAACACCCAAAGTTAAAAGAGCTTATTTCAGCTCACCATTTGTAGAAGCTTCTGTCCATAGTCCACTGATTCCAAGGCAGAGGGGCACATCTGAGGAACATCATACAGGAGAAACAGTCCATGGTGTGGCTGGCAGGAAACAGCAAGCAGCAGCAGCAGGCAGCGAGCCTGTCTTTCTCTTTTGTCTCATCCAGGCTACCAGCCTTTTAGGTAGTGTCAGCCACACTGAAGGTGGGGCTTCTGTCTTCAATAAATCCTTTCAGCCACATCCAGAACTATGCTAATTATAATCAGTGTACTAATTTAGCATCACACACCCTAGATCCAGCAAGCTCCAAAAGCACTACCTATGAGTGCCTGAGGCTTTGTGGGGATAGCTAGATACAAGCCATTACACCTAGTATATCAGGAATATATATCAGGAAGGGACTGTCTGGCATAGATCCTGAACATCTAGATTTATGTAAAACTCCATAGGTAAGTAGATTTAAACAACAAAGCTGTGCCAAGTGGGCATTTTTAAAGATAACTGAAATGATGCATATTAACAATAACTGTTGCTTTATATCATTAAGAAAAACACTGAAAGACTTCGAATAAATACAGAAGAAGCCACCAAAACTATATTTTCATCATTTGGTCAGTGTTTTATTGAAGTTAACACTTATAAGGGAAGGCAAACATATGGACAAGTCCAGAAACTTCCCATGAAGCACATAAAAGTTCGACCCAGGGAAAACTGAATATCCTCTGATCTGACAATGCTTCGGAGGTAATTTGTCCACAGTAACAGACCCCACGTGTCTCAGCCTCCCTGTACTGCCCTCACTGTCCTCTGCAGTGGGATGCCAGTGTCTTCCTCTCTCTTTTTGACTTTTCAGCCATGACATGCAAGAGCAAAAAATGATGGGGCCAATTAGTTATGCACTTAAACCTCCAACGCTCTAAACACACCTCCAGTATTTATAAGCTATTATCTAAGGTATTTGTTACAGTAATACAAAGTTAACATAGGATACTTTGCTATACCTTCTTAAGGTAGAAGAAATAAAAGATAGGTTTAAAAAAAGACTTAGAAAAACATACTTTTAAGACCACAACTACTAAGATTCACCTGAAGTTACCTAAGGCGATATGTATTGATATAAGGGAATGAAACTCCCAACCTGCTAGATGTCTAAAACACGGAGTTTGTGTTCTCTAAAATTAAGGAATGATTTCTAGGAATAATGGAAGTTAAGAGTAGGAAGAATTTATTGAGAGAAAGAAAGCTTTTGTCTGAGAGGGACAGAAGGGGGCTTGGAAAGTGGGGTGCCCACCAACCCTGCTTCTCAAGGGTGTTTACTGAGCAAAGCCACGAGGTGAGGCCAGTTTAAAACAGGAATTAATCAATAGGATTGCAAGTATAGTTGCTTGGGTAATATTGATCCAGCGGCAAATCATAGGATGGGTATGAGGTAGGACAAAACTGTGGTCAACCAATATTTATACAATGTATAGTTCCTAGGATAATAGTGATTAAATGGGGATCAAATAGGGAAACAAGTTATGCAGCAAGCACACTCGGGATGGACAAGGACTTTCCTGGAAGGTGTGGGTTAAGGAGATTTGATCCTCTACCCCAAGGTGATTGATGCCTACTTAGAATGTCAATCACTGCTGTTCATCCCCAGGGGAAGTACACGAGTGAGTAGTTCTTCTTTTTCCTGAAGCCTGGCCTTCAGTGACGTCTCCAGCCACAGTTGTCTTCTGCACTGACCTCTCGAGGGCCCAGCTCTGTCTGACTGCCTACAGTATTTCTATCTAACTTAGCTATCTATAATAACATTGATAATCCTTTGGTTAAATTTAGAGTCCTTTGTTACCAGACCCATCCCACTGACAATTTCTTAAAAATATGAAAAGTCCATAAATTGGTTTAATTGAAAAAGTAAGGAACAGGAGCCTGATCCCAAAATAAAGGAGCAGGTTGATCGAAACCAAAGAACATTCAAATCACCTATTAAAGGAAGACAAAAACAAAAACAAAACCCCATACCTACAGAGTGTATGTGTGTGTAGGGGGTGATCACCTTTCCCTGGGCTTTTCTGCCCTTTTGAGAGAGGTAAAAAGACCAGTTCCAAACTGAAATGTGCCTCATTTCTTAAAGCACCCACATTTCGCTTGAGTGCGTCCTAAATCTAGTAAGGTCTTTCCCAAGCCTCTTACTGATGCATCCTAAAATTTCTATTTCTGTGCCACAAGTCAGAAAACCTGTTACAACAGGCAGGCTCAATTCCTTATCTCAGCTTCAGGATTCTCTGATCCAGCTTGGTGACACTCTCATATAACAATCCTATAGATAGGGGCAGACTCTAGTTTTGTAGGGCTTTAAAGCTACACAATTTGGGGACCTAGAGAGAATATAAATATAACTTTTACAACTCAAAAAAAAGCAAGACCATTTGAACACATATTTCAGGACCCTTCCAGGACTTTGGAAATTTGTATGCAAATCTAATTCAAATTCCCTGAGGTAGGGGAAAGGAAGTTGCTTAACAGGGTAGAGTTAGGGAGGCCTTTAGTGGTCTAAACTGAAAAGAGAATTTGAATCAAGACACTAACCTTCACTCCTAGAAGGCACTAACAATTCTAAGTCTTTTAGGGGGGGATGGGCACTGTAAGATCATTGCCCAGTGTTTCCCATTCCTAGCTTGGTTTCCTGATTTCCAGTTTACCAAATCAGTTCTCATTTACGCATCAGCTTGTCAGGATTCAACGCTGCTGTTGCTGTTGTCTCCTTTACCATTCTTGTTTTTCCTTTGTGCCATTTTTAAACACACTTTTTCTGTCATCTTAAGAGTTTCAGAAAGGAGAGGAAATGGTTCAACTTACCATTCTTAACTCCAAGACTATGTTAAATTATACTCCAAAACTGTCACAACCAGAGCACTTGCACGACTAGCAGCACCCACACATACTCTTAACAAAGCTCCATGTCCTCAGAATTTCTCAGTCTAGTTAAACCAGTTCACTATTTTAATTTGCATTTACCTCATCAGTAGTGAAGTTCAGTATTATTTTGTTTACTGGTCTTTTGCGTTTCCTCTTCAGTGAATAACCTGTTCATATAATTTAGCCATTTTAATAAGCAGTGAGGGGGTTCAGAATATGCAACTATGGCATTTTGACTGAGTTAAAGACAAATAAGCAAAAGCTGCCAGTGCATAAGGCCTCTTTGACCTCCCACTTTCATTCCTAAAAGCAGAATGTAAAATTTCTCAGATGCCCTTCTTCATGCCAGGTAAAGAAATTTCTCATCACTGAGAGGGGGAATCAGCATTAAGTTGAACCTGTAGGAACAAAGCTACTTTGATGGTCAATCTCGATTGTGAATTTGACTGGATTCAGAGTCGCCTAAAAATTGGTGAGGCACACATCTGGGTGTGTCCGTGTGGGCGTGTCCAGAAACAACTGGCATGTGGCTATTATGTGCACTGAGGTGGGCCTGCCCAAATGCGGGCAGCACTGTCCCACCGGCTGAGGTTCACCCTGGAACAAACAGCGAAAAGAAGCTTGCACGCATTCTCCTTCATCTGGAGCATTTTTTGCACGGGCATCAGACTCGACTCTTCAGCTTTTGAATGTGGACTCCCAATTAACCAATCGACTCTTCAGCCTTTGAATGTGGACTCCCAATTAACCAATCTCCAGGGGACCTCTCCATCTTCAGCCCCAGACTGGGCTGCAACATTGGTCCTTGTTGTTCTGAGGCTTCCAGCTTCAGTTGAGCAGCTATGGTTTTCCTGCTTTTCCCCTGGGGCACTTCTACTCTGATTGTGTGAGCCAATCTAACAAACCTCCTAATCAGCTTTGTTCCTCCAGAAAACCTAACACATCTACTAACATACCTGTTCTTCCATGCATTTTCTATTCACTTTCCTACAATTTACTACCCCTAGCTGAAATTTCCTGTCCCACTGTCTTGTCAGACTTTCATAATTTATCATTCTTTGTTAAAATGGTATATAAGTTCTCAGGTCGCTTCTGTGGGCCTTCACTTTACGTGGAACTTTCTGTGTACACATAAAAATATTAACATCAAGTATAACTGTATGCTTTTCTCTGAATTTGTCCTTTGGCAGTGCAATTCTCAGGACCAGCCACAGAACCTAGAGGGGGAAGGCAAAATATTTTTTCCTCTCTTATAGCAGCTGGCCTTGTTCTTCACATTTACTTTTTGTTATTGTTGTTATGTAAGTTGTATTTTCTTGTAGTATCTCTTTTCTCTATGGCATCTAAATTCTAAGGCATTAATAATTTTATTGTAATTGTGGTTTTTATTTCTGTATAAATCAGATCTTCCCTATTCTAAGGGATACATGATTTTTCTCAGTGCACATGCAGTTCTCATTTTTGCATTTAGGTGTCTAATCTATTTGTAATTTATTTCTATAATGGCATAAACCCTTTTTTCCCACATCAAAAAGTATAATATTTATTGAACAGTCCATCTTTTATCCACTGATTTGAAATAATTTATTTATGAAGTACTCATAGATTAGGTGTTTTCTGAGTTCTATATTCTTTCCCACAGATTTGACATTTACTGTTATGAACACTTCAAACTGCATCTCACACAGAAAATATCCTTATAAGGAATGGAAATCTGCTATTACAGAAAGTACAAATTAAAGATTGAAATAACATCCACTTTAATATTTATCACACAATGTTTATACGTACTTGAAATTATAAGGGGACAATTTGTGCATGTCACATTCATATTACTATCCACATAACAAATACACATTTATTCAACTACATCAGGATAACACACAAGGTTTTAAGCTTCTCAGTTAAAAGGAGACATCACGTAAGGAAAATGAATGTCCAAAGATTATTAACCATATAAATAAGTTATTCCTAAATGTCTTACATTTTGACAACTCTGAACTATACTTACATACTAATATTTCCAAAAATCATAAATTATAACAAGGGTCACTGTCAGGGTGAAAATATATATTTAAAAGTTATTTTTAAATATGTTACTATGCTTTAGCATCATTTGATTTATTCTTGGCACATGTGGCATTTGGGAAAGTAAAAATACACTTGGCCAATTTTAATGTTGTGTAGGTCTAAGAGAAAGAACACAGTTTAGGGGCAAACAGACGACTTGTGTTCAGTTACCAGCTGTGTTCCTAGTCCTGTTGTGTGAGGCTGGTTTATTATCTCTTGGTGCTGGGACAAGGACTAAATTAAATAATGCATATTCAAAATGTACAATGTGAGTACTCAATGAATGATATCCTTCCCCCAATCTATTCTCATTTTATTCACATTGTGGCAACAGCAAAATATCACAGTCTTATGTTGGATTATAATTTGAAAAACTGAAAAAATATGGGTAATTAAAAATAATGTAAATGTGTTCTAAAAAAATTGCACTTCTAACAAATAAGGAAATCCTTCAGCAGGAGTCAATATTTCTAATAAAACTTAATGCCTACTATACCCTGATTTTAAAAAAATTCCTAAAGTATGATAAAATGGTCAGTGGTTAAGGACTTTTGGTTTTCTTTTGTGCTACTGATATAAAAATAATGGCTATATTTAAGGCTCCTTAAGTGATTGTAATTGCCCTGAACCAAATCTATATTCCGGATGTTGCACTATCAGCTGAAACTGACCAACTGCTTTGAGTGACCACCCCCGAGAACTCTCATGGGATTCTGTATTGGAACCAATCATAACCTCCTTTCTGACTCTCAGTAAAGGTTCACTTGGTGGCATGTGGCAGTTCAGCACATCTGTCATTAAGGATGACATATACACAATCACAAACCACTCTTTCTCATGCTGAATACATGGTGCTTGGAACAACTGGGATTCTTAAAATTTAAATTTATATTGTCACAAGGAATAAACTACTCTCTACAGTAATTCTTACTTCCCTATCCTTGGGTCTTTCTGTTTCCTGCCCTGATACTGAACAAATCATTCTTCTATTTCTGACTTAAAAGCTCCTCCAGAATATTTTCCCTAACCAGACTTCACACCTGTCCCTTTATGCACCTTACACTCATGCATTTTTATATTAAATTCTATTTGCATATATAACCATTCACATTTTATGTGCCTTCAACTTCCAGCTACAATGTCTCTGACTTTTGAAGTTTCCACAGTGTTTATCGCAGTGCTGTGCATGTATGTATGTGGCTATGAGTATATGTGTGTGGGGTGTATGTGTGTGCACTAAATGAATTTTAAAAGCCTAAAGAATCTAGGTGTCTGCAGGGTAGAAAAAGTTACATAATTTGACAGAAATCAAAATTCTTGGACCTTCCTAATACTGAAAGATCTAATTTCCAAAGCTACATCATTTGGTTTTAGACATGTCAATAATAGAAAAGTAGTGAAAAACTGTTTAAAAAACCTTTATGAAATACTCCAAAAAGGATTTTAAATAAATTATTATCAAGAGCACCAACCCAAAACATTCTACTAAATAGTAATTTAACTTTTCCTATGATTTTATGAATGTAGACTTGTTTTCATTTAAGACAAAGAATACTGAACAGGAAGAGGTGTTGTGAATCAGGATAAGAAAGGCAATTCACTCTAGGTCAATATTTAATGCACGCATTGCAATTAATTTGAAAATCCTTTTGTGATACATATATATGTTAAGTAAAAGAATGGTTTATATCAAGATGTCATAGACCTCTATACATCTGTAAAACATGACACAATACTGAAATTGCTATTTAACAAGAGAAATTTTGTTTATAGTAGCTGTTAATATTAAAATAGGATATAATAAAAAATTATTCTCAATGTGTATATTTTCAAATTTGCCTGACAGTGTCCTTTTGAGAAATCTGACAATTTGCAGTTAGATTACATATATTTGAATTCTGCCTTTAGCATTGAAAATATTACTTACAGAATAACAGACAACAATATATAGTAGTTTTTTACTAAAGCATTCTGCAATTTATATTTAAAGCTTTGCAATAAAACAAAATTTATTATACTTTTCATGAGTTAAATTACACAGTATATATGTACGCTATATTACACAAATAATAAATTAATGAAAGGAAGCATTAAAGAGCTAGAACCATACCATAGGATGTTTTACCTGTCATTCTAAGTGTTAATCTGTTAGTATTGAGTTTCTAATGTGTGTCTTAAACCCAAGGAACTTTATCTTTAAATAATAAAATAAAAAACCAAGTTTAGAGCACAAGCATTAAACTCTATACGTGTTTCTTCCTAGGTGATCTAGGAAATGAGGAAAGCAGGCAAGGAAAATTCTTTCTCCTGCTATAAAATGCCTTTTTGCTTTTCTATGTATTCTTATGGCATTTTTAGAGCAAATAATACAAAATGACACCTTTGGCAAATGATAAGCTTATTTAAATGGTTTCTTACTTGAAAGAAAGAAAAAAACTAAGACTTTCCTTTTCTGGCTTATCATTCTCAATTTTTTTTCTCCAACACACAATAGTGCTATAAAAGCACTTCTTGAAATCTTCATGTTAACCATTTTAAACAGCACAAAATGAACTGGGTTAACTTACATAGTTAATCAAAACACAGTACCAGTGTAGACCCTAGGGTGAGGTCCTAGAATTTGTTACACGGAGAGCTAAACTCGCAAGGGATCGCATGGCAAAAGTAGACACTTTGTGACATATGCCAGCTTTTGAGATATAGTTAGAAGCCAACCGAAAAAGCCTTTCTGCACCGAAGGTATTGAAGTGGCCGGGAAGCACTTTCTCAACCAGGCCTCTGTCCACTAACTCTATCAGACGTTCACAAGTGCCCACATAGTCGCTTATCCTGCTGTACGGGAGCCAGTCAATCAGTGAGCCATCGTAGACCACATCCCCACTGAAGAGAACCTTCCGGTCTTTGTCATGCAAGCAGATGCTGCCCCTGGAGTGCCCTGGCATGTGCATGACTGTGAGCTGTCTGTCGCCAAGGTTAAGCACGTCACCTACAGATGGAAACAGAGTTCACAGATAAATGCATGTACACTTGATTCCAATCACTTAAACAACAGAAGTATGTCAAACGGATCAAAGAAATTAGGAAGCAGGACGACGTTTATTTTATTCCAAAAATAGTAAATTTCTTAACAATGACAAAAACAAGTAGCCTGTATTTCATTCTCTTATTTGCTAGACCAATGTTTGTGAAAGTGAGTAATGTAGAACACTTCTTCTGCACAGTTAGGGTTATTAAATAAATGAACAGAGGATTGAAATAATTTTGGGAACTCTTGCTTCAAAGAAAAGCAAACAGCTTACTTTGCACTTTTTTGTTTGTTTGTTTGTTTTTCTTATGGTACCAGGAATCGAACTCATGACCTTGCACTTGCCAGGCAGGCGCTGTGCCGCTGAGCTAAATCCTCAGCCCCAGACAGCTTACTTTTCTGTAAGACTTCTGAGAGCTTTAAAATAACAATGGATATTGTAGATGTACATAAGGTAAGCATAATTTGTGTAATTTTGCAAACTCACTTTTCAGAACATCCATTTTTCCCACTATCCTATCAGCAAAATCACGAATGTTGCTGTTGTTGTGTGGTGCAATGGGAATTAAGGGTCCAGGAATTGGTACACAGCATGATGCTCTGGCTGATGGTGTTCGTGATAAACGATTCTTTGTTTCTAGAAGGAACCCTTAGTCCTCTGCCAGAACCCACTGAACTGTGGTAGGCTGCTCTGCTAACTTTCAAGCCGGATCAAATCTCAGGCTCATAAATGTTACTGAGAATGGGGAGGAAATGGAGCTATAAGCATACAAAACTGCTGAGTTTCACTGGAATTAAATCAGCCTAACTGGCTGGGGATATAGCTCGATGGCACAAGTGCCTACCTGACAAGCACAAGGTCCTGAGTTCGATTCCTGGTACAAAAAAAAAATCAGCTTAACTTTAAGTAAATAATGATGTACTAAAAGATATACATTGTGAATTCAAGTGCAAACACACCATTGAAAGAAAATAAAAAATATATATTGTCAAAAAGTTGACAGGACTGGGGATGTTGATCAGTGGTAGAGCATTTATCTAGTGTGCACAAGGCCCAGAGTTCAGTCCCCAGGAATGGAATGGAGAGGAGAAGCAGAGGGAGAGGCAGAGGGGGAGGGGGAAAAGGGGGGAAGAAGAGAACAGT